ATACTTCACATTTTAGCAGGTCACTGTATCACATTTCAATGTGTTCATCTTCTGATTGTGATAATAATTAAAAAGCACGTGGGTTATTGAGTTAATCTCACTATTTATATGCAATGTGCATAATATTGCATTTGTGGGTATTGTTCTGTATTTAATTATGTATGTATAGCCCCCAAAGTGGAAAAGGATTGCTATCCCAATTGTGGACATGTATTAAAGATCATGAATATAAATATAGGCCATCCAGCAATGTATATATATGTTTTTCGTGTGCAGTGGTCATGGACCTAAAAACCTCATGGATATTTTGTTTATGCCATCCATTACACCAGGCTGAAAAGATATGCAGTGGTAAAAAGTACAGTAAAGCACCATAACCAGTATAAACTATTGAAGTGGTTATAGTGACATTTTTTTAAATGTACTCTTTTTTTGTCCATCCACTTGAAAACAGTTTGATAATAAATTACATAATGCACCTGTAGATTTCTAAAGCCAAAACTATTATAATAAGCTGTAGTGGTTATGGTTCTTGCGATGTCCCCGTATTGCAGATATAGGTGGTAATACAATTACCACATAAATACAACACCCAATGTGACACTTTTTGTGGGTATACTTTCCAATAGTTGCGTCTAATGGTAACAGTACAATTCTTTCTTGGAAAATCTACAAAAAACAGATATTGCCATACATAGTGAAATCCGTCTGATAATGTAATAAGAAGAGAGATAAGATGTCAACTCACAAGTATAGAGCCGTACCAGGCTCTGTGTTATCAGTTATGGGTGCCAATAACTGGCTTCGAAAGTACTCCTAAAGCAGGATCTTTGCAGTAGTAGAAAATTTATTAAAACAATAATAATAAAAATAGGACATATATAAGCAGTGTGTAAGGAGATAATAGTATACACTACCGCAAGGTATGTAATAAGTCCTTATTAAAAGTCCAAATTGCAAACGCGTTTCGACTATGAATAGTCTTCCTCAGTGCAGAATAAATCAGAACTAACATCATATTCCCTTTTAAATCCTTATGGAGTTGAATTTTACGGTAAATCTTCTCTTAACTTCCGGGTCACGTCAAAATTCCGTTCATTTCCGGGTCATGTGACTGCCGACGTCAACTTCCGGTTGCGTGCGTACGTTATCACACATGCATGGCAGTCATCTCCCACTGATATAGGAAGTACTATAGCGTCCATTTAAAATATGGGCAATGTTGCCCTATATCCTGGAATATATAAAAATGAACGGAATTTTGCCATGACCCGGAAGTAAAGACAAGATTTACCGCAAAAATTCAACTCCATAAGGATATAAAAGGGAATATGATCTCTTTACACACTGCTTATATATGTCCTATTTTTATTTCATTTTAATATTATTGTTTTAATAAATTTTCTACTACTGCGAAGATCCTGCTTTTGGAGTACTTTCGAAGCCAGTTATTGGCACCCCAATGCTGATCATACAGAGCCTGGTACGGCTCTATACTTGTGACATCTTATATCTCTTCTTATTACATTATCAGACGGATTTCACTATGTGTGGCAATATCTGTCTTTTGTAGATTTTCCAAGAAAAAAATTGTACTGTTACCATTAGACGCAACTATTGGGAAGTATACCCACATAAAGTGTCACATTGGGTGTTGTATTTATGTGGCAATTGTATTATCACCTATATCTGTTATTTGTATCTCTAAGGTGATTGGGAACACCTGTGTTTATACGCACCCTACATACTATTTGAAGCGCCCAAACACCTTCTAACTCTTTTGAGTTTTTCTTTTGCATTTATGTCCCCGTATTGCCAAGAATAATCAATAAACTCTAGACCCTCCTTGATGAAATCGCAAGAAGAGGCTTTGACTACTTGAATTATTTTGTAGATACCCTTAAAAAAAAGCATAGGAAGGACAGTATCATCCTGTGGCAAAAATCAAATGAAATTCAAATTATTACGAATGTTAAAATATGAGTTCATTGGCTTGTGGCAGAAAACTAATCATTACCCCAGAGTTGAGAAAAAGAGAAATTAAATATGACAGGAGCTGTAATCAAATTACATGTCTGTAGCTGCCATACCAACACTCATCTACCTCTTCTTTATATCAACCTATGTAGTTTGTAAACGTTCATAAACTGGCTTAGATTAAAGGTGCACACACAAAGTCTTGCACTTTCCAGGTGCATCTAAACATTTATATTTATGACTATAATCACATATTTAAATGATACAGAAAATTATTTTCGTTGTATTTTTTATAGCTGAAAATGGGTGAGAGAGAGAACATATATACACTGCTCAAAAAAATAAAGGGAACACTTAAACAACACAATGTAACTCCAAGTCAATCACACTTCTGTGAAATCAAACTGTCCACTTAGGAAGCAACACTGAGTGACGATCAATTTCCCATGCTGTTGTGCAAATGGGATAGACAACAGGTGGAAATTATAGGCAATTAGCAAGACACCACAATAAAGGAGTGGTTCTGCAGGTGGTGACCACAGACCTCTTCTCAGTTCCTATGCTTCCTGGCTGATGTTTTGGTCACTTTTGAATGCTGACGGTGCTTTCACTCTAGTGGTATGCGAGCTGTGGCAAGAAGGTTTGTTGTGTCTGTCAGCGTAGTGTCCAGTGCATGGAGGTGCTTCCAGGAGACAGGCCAGTACATCAGGAGAAGTGGAGGAGGCCGCAGGAGGGCAACAACCCAGCAGCAGGACCACTACCTCTGCCTTTGTGCAAGGAGGAACAGGAGGAGCACTGCCAGAGCCCTGCAAAATGACCACCAGCAGGCCACAAATGTGCATGTGTCTGCTCAAATGGTCAGAAACAGACTCCATGAGAGTGATATGAGGGCCCAACATCCACAGGTGGGGGTTGTGCTTACAGCCCAACACCGTGCAGGATGTTTGGCATTTGCCAGAGAACACCAAGATTGGCAAATTCGCCACTGGCGCCCTGTGCTCTTCACAGATGAAAGCAGGTTCACACGGAGCACATGTGACAGACGTGACAGAGTCTGGAGACGCCGTGGAGAACGTTCTGCTGCCTGCAACATCCTCCAGCATGACTGGTTTGGCAGTGGGTCAGTAACGGTGTGGGTGGCATTTCTTTGGGGGGCCGCACAGCCCTCCATGTGCTTGCCAGAGGTACCGAGATGAGATCCTCAGACCCTTTGTGAGACCATATGTTGGTGCGGTTGGCCCTGGGTTCCTCCTAATGCAAGACAATGCTACACCTCATGTCTGTCAACAGTTCCTACAAGACGAAAGCATTGATGCTATGGACTGGCCTGCCCGTTCCCCAGACCTGAATCCAATTGAGCACATGTGGGACATCATGTCTCACTCCAGCCACCAACATCACGTTGCACCACAGACTGTCCAGGAGTTGGCAGATGCTTTAGTTCAGGTCTGGGAGGAGATCCCTCAGGAGACCATCCGCCACCTCATCAGGAGCATGCACAGGCGTTGTAGGGAGGTTATACAGGCACGTGGAGGCCACACACACTACTGAGCCTCATTTTGACTTGTTTTAAGGACATTACATCAAAGTTGGATCAACCTGTGGTGTGTTTTTCCACTTTAATTTTGAGTGTGACTCCAAATCCAGACATCCATGGGTTGAAAAGTTTGATTTCCATTTTTTAATTTGTGTGATTTTGTTGTCAGTACATTTAACTATGTAAAGAACAAAGTATTTCAGAAGAATATTTAATTCATTCAGATCCTTTATTTTTTGGAGCAGTGTAGATATAGATATATATATATATATATATATATATATATATATGATCATAAAATCTCCACTAGAGGGAGTACTTCTCTCATTCAACTTTCATGCCATCTATTACATTGTTTTTTTTACATAGTTACATAGCTGAAAAGTGACTTGCGCCCATCAAGTTCAGCCTTCCTCACATTTGTTTTTGCTGTTGATCCAAAAGAAGGCAAAAAAAAAACAGATGCAAGCAATTTTGCAGCAAACTAGGAATAAAATTCCTTCTTGACCCCAGAATGGCAGTCAGATTTATCCTTGGATCAAGCAGCTATTACCCTACATTGAAAAGTTATATCCTTGAATATTCTATTTTTGCAAGTATGCATCTTGTTCCTGTTTGAACATCTGTATGGACTCTGATAAAACCACTTCTTCAGGCAGAGAATTCCACATCCTAATTGTTCTTACAGTAAAAAAAAACAAAAAAAAACTTTCCTTTGCCTTAGAAGAAATCTTCTTTCTTCCAGTCTAAACGCATGGTCTCGTGTCCTATGTAAAGTCCGGTTTGTGCATAGATTTCCACACAATGGTTTGTATTGGCCCCGAATATATTTATATAATGTTATCATATCCCCTCTCAGGTGATCTATGCTATAGCTGTAGTATTTTTATTTATTTTTTTAAATGGTGAGGTAAATGTCTCAACTCTAAATAAATATATAATAATAATAATTATATATATATATATATATATATATATATATAATATAAAACAAATTGTGAAGATATAGCACTCCCAGGACTCCAAAAGTGTAAAAGTAAAATTTTACTCTTATTTTCCAAATTTAAAAGATCCAGATGTAAAAGAAAATAAATTTGGAAAATAAAAGTTAAATTTTATTTTTACACCTTTGGAGTCCCGGGAGTGCTATCTCTACGCAATTTTTTATACTATGCCGATAAGCACCAGGCAGAGACACCAGTAAGTGGAGTGCAGGACTATTTTTGTTGTTTTATATATATATGTATATATGTATTTTACTTTATTCATTCATAAGATATGAGTATCGGGGGGGCGTGTCTTGGCCACCATTTTGAGGACATTGGGTCTTTAATGTTCCAAAACAACAAGTTATTGCTTAAACTGGAGAAAATGAATAATTGATATCTCTTTAAGAAACTTCTGTGAACATGCAGAAACAAAGAACTTCGGGAAAAACTGCTTCCACAATGAAAAAAAAAATGTGAAGACTACTGGGGAGGTGAGTATGGGCTTGCATGCCCACTCCCCTTCCAATCTGCCAGTTTTGCAGCTTATTTCACCGCCAGAGTCCCCACTAAACCTGACACGGATACCTCTACCCTCCCACCTTTCACCCAGAGCCAGAACTTATGCCAGCGCGGCTGCCGTGATGTCAGTGAGAGTTACGTGCTCTGATGACAGTCTCGCAAGCTCCGAGCGTCGGAGATGCTCGGAGCATCTGGGAAGTGCAGTCGTGAGCAGCTCTGTGCCCATTAAAGACTGTGATCAGTCTGTGAATAAAGCAGCCTGGTCGCTTAATTATCCATGCAACTGCGCTGACCGTAATGAGTGGAGTGAGGTCCCGCTCCCCATCGGTTGCCTCTGCCTCGCAGCGGTCAGTCCCAGTGTGGGGCCCTCAGTCCCCACTCCTCAACAATTTAAAGAGCCACAATCCTTAAGGAGCAATGAGGAAAGGGCTTCAAACAGCCCTGAGGTGGCTGAAATGGACTCAGACAATGATGGTACTGGGTCCATTAAAGCTATAGTGCAAAAAGTTAAACATGTAGCCACCAACAAGATGGCTGCTACTCCTAGATCTGATGTCACTTCCAAGATGGCTGCTGCCACCTCCAAGATGGCTACAAATGTTATGGCTAATCCTTTTACAATGACAGCTGCTTTTAATCCTGATATGCCATCTGAAATGGCTACATGTTTGCCTGCATCAGCTGACATGCTGCTAAATCTTATTAAGAACCTAAGGGTGGAACTTAGGAACGATTTCAAAAAGGATTTTGAAGCAATTTATGGTTTCATGTCGGACATAAATTTACGCACGGAAGATGCTGAAAACCTAATGACCTTCCAAGAACAGTCACATCTGGAATTGTTGGAGAAAGTAAATGATCTTCAAAGACAGGTGAACCAGCAAGCAGAAAATCAGCTGATGTGGAAGATAGGAGCAGACTAAATAACCTCCGGATCAAGGGGATAACATCGACACGGTGGATTTACCTAATTATTTTCAGAACATGGTAAGGGCAGTTAAGCCATCTGTTACCAACTCAGACTTAATTCTGGACCACATTCACAGGCTGCCTAAACCTCACAGCGTGCCTGCAGCTGCACCGTTTCCATTATTATCACATAAAGGAGGAATTGTTGGGTGCAGTACGCACATCTTGATTACCTGGTGACTACAACAACATTAAGATCTTCCCGGATTTTTCAGCACATACCATGAGACGGCACAGGGAATTTCAACCTTTTACATCAGAACTGTGTTGTAGAGGAATTAGATAGAAATGGGGGTTTCCTGTAAAGGTACTCTTCCACATGGATGGTCAGAACTTTGCTGTTCTTCGCCAGAGACAGGGTATTGAAGTTCCCAACTCCATGAGCAGACCTCAAGTGGTTTCAGCTCATACACTTTCACCTTCGACTCCTGAGCAGCCCAATAAGAGAAGCAAGCACGATGCTCCATAAAGACTGACACAGCATTGGAGTTCCTAACTTATCATTTTCCAGATGATGTTGTCTCAATCTCTAGGGTTCCTGTTCCTGTACCGCATGTAGGATTACCTCAAGAAATGTTGGACTTGCCTGCCGTTTTTGGCTTCCAAAAATAAATTTTGTATATTGTTTATTTTACCGACGGGTCCTCGTTACTCCTGGATTTCATTATGGATATGAAATTGTTAAATCCTGATCCCCATCTTTGATGTTTTGACTATGGATTGCTGATTCTTCATACGAGTTCTCAGTTGGCTCTTGGTTCATGAGAAAGCTGCAAGTTTAGAGTGACTCTCTTGCTTATTGCATGAACTTTGAAACTCTTAAGCCTTATGTTTGTTTCTTTTGGAACTCATGGTTCTAATATTATTTTGATCCAATACCCTCCAACATAGGCCTGTACATTTTTTTTTGTATATGCTTTACTTTTTTGTTTTTAGTTCTATTTTCTTTTTTTCCCATAACCCCTTAAGGACCAAACTTCTGGAATAAAAGGGAATCAGGACATGTCACACATGTCATGTGTCCTTAAGAGGTTAAAGGGGGCTTAATCCAAGTTTTTTTCCCTTTTTTGTTTAACCCCTTAAGGACACATGACATGTGTGACATGTCATGATTCCCTTTTATTCCAGAAGTTTGGTCCTTAAGGGGTTAAACAGTGTTTTCAAAACATGTAGGCTATTGTTAGGGGAGACGAAGATTCATAAATCTTTTTCTTCAGGAGATACATTTTAAACATGGTGAGATTCCATCTACTATGGCAAAAAACTATCCTCTTCAGTTTTATTCCACATTCAGATCAAAGTCTAGAGGCATCTCCATATTTTTTCACAGGGGTGTGGCTTGCCGCACCGACAAGGTGGTTCCTGATCCAGAAGGTAGGTATGTGAGTGATACGCTGAATAATGTGTTTTATACTTTGGCAAATGTTTACTTCCCTAACACCAGACAGCTTAAATCTTTGAGGAAAATAATTGCAAAAATAACCCGAAATAACTGTAGTGAAAAATTAGCTGACTCTTGTTCAAAATTTATTTTTTTACAGGGCTTATTCGATTGCTGGCGGATTGGAGAGAAGGACTACACTTATTACTCAATGGCACAATATGTATTCTCGTACTGACAGGTTCTTAATGGGTGAACAGGATATTTCTTGTGTTTTAAGATCTGAAATAAAGGATGTGACATGTTCAGATCATGCCCCAGTGGTTATACATGTTGAGGAGTCCCTTCAGTTGAACTCAAAAAGGCTATGGAGACTATTTAGTCACAAATCTGGAAAACAATTCATTAGCTAAGGAGGCGCTTGAGGATTATTTTAGAAATAATTTGACTACAAATATTCATGCCACTTCGATATGGAGCGCCCAAAAAGCTGTCTTAAAAGGCCTCCTATCTGAAGAAAATTAGATTAAAAAAGGTAAAAGATCTTGAAAAATAATTATATAATCTCAATCAGGCGATTAAATTTGGCCCTACCCCCTCTCTTGCCGCAATGATCTCAGAAAGTAAAGATGAAATTCATGCAGTTCAGTTGGAACACATGGCCTTGATGTTAAAGAAACTGAAGCAAATTTTTTATTCAAAAGGAAACTAAAGCTTTGGCAGTCTAGGATTGAACATTCATTGGCAGAGGATGGTGTTAAAATTACACATCTCGTTAAAGTAAGCAATGCTTTTGCTGCCTACTATAAAAAAGTTTATAATCTGGCATTAGATCAAAATGTGCAGCAACCCACATTGGATAAACTTAACTCTTTCTAGATAAAATCCCTATGAAACATATCAATTGATAAATTGGAAACTTTAAATTCTCCCATATCCCATAAAGAAATTATGGATGCTATTAACATGATTCCTTCTGGCAAGGCACCTGGACCTGATGGTTTCACGATGGCATATTATAAGTCCTTTTCCGGTTTATTAGCTCCTCATCTTCTTAAATTATTTAATCATTACTGGACTCACAGAGAAATGTCGGAGGAGGCGTAATGCGCTCAAATTATAACATTACCTAAACCTGGCAAAGCACCTAATTTGTGTTCAAATTTTCGTTTGTTATCACTTATTAATAATGATACTAAAATATACTCAAAAATATTGGCAAATAGGTTAGCTCACATATATATTTCCACTTCTAATTGATCATGGTGGGCTTAGTTTTAAACTGTCAGGCCCTGGATAGCACTAGACGCTATATTAATTTGATTCAACACATTGAATTGAACCGCACGCCTTCTCTGCTCCTATCTTTAGATGCAGAGAAGGTGTTCAATAGGATACATTGGGATTTTTTAAAAATAAGTTATGTCGAGGTTTCATATTCCAGATTCCTTCATCAGAGCTATGTTTGCATTGTACTGTAATCCAACGGCCACGGTGTCCACAACTGGCTTTGTATCTGACAGTTTTGCATTATCAGGACCAGGCAGGGCTGCCCATTGTCGCCATTGTTATTCATGCCGGCAATGAAGCCTTTGGCTGAGTCCATAAGACAGTGTGTGGACATGAAGGGTATTGTGGTAGGAGAAAGGGAACATAAAATAGGCTTATTTGCAGATGACATTATGCTATCATTGAAAAATCCCTCGACCTCAGTCCAATCATTAATGTCTATCTTGCAAGAATTTGGCAAAATTTCTTATTATAAATTAAACACAAATAAAACTCAGACGCTATACTTTTTTGTCCCACGGCACATATTGAACTCTTTAAAAGAGGACTTCGACTGGAGGGATTCATATATCTCCTATGTAGGTATTTATCTCTGTAAGAACCTGTCAAAGATGCATGCATATAATTTAGCTAAGGTCTGGCCTGCTTTTTGGGAAATTTCTTGGTTGGGCAGAATAAATTCGGTCAAAATGTCTCTCCTTAGTAAACTTTTTTACTTTCTATAAAGATGGCTATCCCTCTCACTATACCTTCCTCTTTTTAAAGAATGTTCACTCTGCCCTTCTGGCATTTGTCTGGAATAAAAATCCTTGCAGAATTCAGCTGGCTATTATACAAAAACTCAGGGTTAGTGGAGGTATGGGTTTGCTGAATTTGAGTCAGTATGATGTTACAACAAATGCAGCTAATGCTCTTTTAAATTTAATTTGGTACATCGTTGCCCGCTGTGGTTGGAGATGGAGGCTACTAAGATTTCTCCTTATAAGATAACTGAAGTGCTATGGTCACCTTCCTCTCTTCCGCTGTGGATGGCAAACATGTTTCCAACCACCAAGACCAGTGTTAAGGCTTGGGATGTTGTATTTAAAAAATTAAACATTCTGTTTTTTGGTCCAAGGCTACTCTCGATGTTGCGATTCTCATTTCCTGATCTGTGTCAGGGTCTTACCTGGGTTGGGAGTCTGCAGATAGCCACAGGCCAAGGTGGTCAGGTAAGAATTCACCTGGCCTGTGGGTCTGTGCATGGGGGCTGTGCAGGATGAAGTACCAAGTCTCAGGACAGGCAAGGACTCAAACAACAGGATCGTCAAGGGATAGCCGAGCTCAAAGGATGCCAGAGGACAGGATCAACAAGGAGTAGCCGAAGTCAAGGGATGCCAGAGGTCAGAGTAAACGTAGTCAGAAGCCGGGGTCAATAATAAGTAGCAGATCAAATGACAGGAACACTGGTACGGAACACACAACAGGATCAAAGACTTGATCCTGATCACAGGGCGAGGCAGTGTTTAAATACCCTGCTGATGTCTGATCAAGGTCAGGTGAAGCACAACCATAGTCAAGGTACAGCCCCCAGAATAATAGACATGCCAGGATGAACAGGACTGGAATGATTTGTTGATATATAAAGCTGCTGTGGCGCAGAGGTAGGAAGCAGGACCAGGACTGTTCAAATCTCCTGTAGGGAACTCCTTGGGCGTCCACGTCTGGCCGTCTATCTGCCGCGGTGAGAACTGTGACAATCTGGATGTGGAATATTGGCTCTCTCATTGATTAATTTTTGTCTAATATATATATATATTTTATTTTTTTATAAATTCTTTTTATTTGTTTTTTCAGCAGAAATTAAATTGGAAAAGCAACGTTATACAATAACAAGCTTTTAAGCGTTGTACATAATAATGTACAATCAACGATTAACAGTAAAATGAGCTACATAGCCATTGTCACATTAGTTGTCGGTATAGTCTTTTACGTAGGAAACTAAATAATGTAGTTTAACATTTTCACTTTCAGATTGGCAGTAATTATCACAGTGATTATGTTAGATATAGAAGAGAAGCATCTCCAGACCCTTGGGATTTTTTTTTTTTCTTTCAAGTAGTACTGTACTGGGAAAAATCAGTCCCCTTGCATATCTGCCTTGTTTAGGAAATCATTCCAAGGTCCCCATATAAGGTGGAATTGTTTGGAGGCTTTTAGTGGTGGCGAAGGTAAGCTCCTCCATTTGTTTTATTCCTTTTACCTTATTAAACCAGTCTCTAACAGAGGGGGGTTGTGCCTGTTTCCATTGTATTGGTATTAGCAGGTTTGCTGCCGTGAGTAGGTGTGTAATGAGTGACAACGTGTGTTTCTTTATACCTGGGGGTGGGAGAAGGAACAGTACTTATTCCGGGGAGAACGGTATACTTATTCCTGTGGCACTGTTAATGAGCTTAATCATTCGTTCCCAAAAGGCTTATATGTGAGTGCATTCCCAACACACATGTGAGGGATGGGCATTGGGTTGCTGGCATCTCCAGCATGTGTGCTGTGTTGTCGTGTATATTTTGTGTATTTTGGCTGGGGTATAGTGCCAACGGGATAGTCTCTTATAGTTTCCCTCCTGTGTATTTACGCAAGTAGAGGTTTTGTGGGCTCTCAAAAATATTTGTCTCCACTGGCCAGTGGAAATATCTGATTGCATTTCATTACACCATTTCCCCACATATGCGGGTAAATCCTTTTCCCGGGGTCTAAGCAATAATTTGTACATTGTGGAGAGCACTTTTCTTTTCAGTTGGTGTTCAGAGCACATCTGTTCAAAGTCAGTGAGGTCTCTCTCTCCTTTTGGTAGGAGTTGCATGGTTTGGATAAAGTGAGTTAATTGTGCGTAGTGTAACTGCTGTATCCCTGACGGATTCTGTGAAGCAGCTAAAATATGTATTGGTATTAGGTGACCATCTTTTGCCACCTCCCTTAGTTGGACGTAATTCCTCTGATTTGAGTTTATTAGTTTGCCTGTCTTTCCTGGCTCATAAAGGGGGTTATTGGTAATTGGATATAGTGGTGATGGGAAGCTCGACAGGTTTTCGTTAGTGTGTAGGATTTGCCATACCTTGATAGTGGCCTCTATTGTCTAATATATTTTTATCTTTTGACCAGTAACAGACCAAATTTGGTCTGGACGCCTCTGATGCACTGATGCACAGACTGATGGTAGAAAAAAAATTGTGATCATTTTAAGGTGTCTGATCAGGATTTGGATGCTCGGATGCCTGAACTCAGCAAACTCAGTCATTCTTCGATACTGGAAATCGGATACTATTCCTTTTATGACTGAGGTGATAAACAACATATTAGAGATCAAGAGGTGTGAATTGGCTTTCAGAGTACCCTCATGCACTCTGGAAACCCTAAGGTATGAATAGGGACTCTAGGAGCGGGACGTCAGAAAAATATATTAAGTTTAACACTTACCTCACTTGACCAGACACCAACACAGAAAGTTATTCAATCTTATTTTTGAAACAACAAAATAAGACACAGCGGATCTGAGATCTTTTTATTTTTTTGTCATTTGTTATAATTCATAATTGACATAATGTTCATAACACAAACAATTTCATCTATATATGCACTTAATACTGGAAACATATATTCATTGTATTCCCCAGTTATATATATATATATATATATTTTTATTTTTTATTTATTTTTTTGTTAAGTTAATATGTAATTCATACAATGGTATTTTCATTATTGTTATTGAATAATTTTAATAATACTAGCTAGTGAAAGTTCAAATTATGAGGAAAAAGGGATCCAGAAATCTATGAAATGTGTAAATGTATAGTCCTGGTTTTGTCAGCCTACTCATATCTGTTTATAATTAAACAGTTAATGCCATGGCCAACTATTTGTTTTATTGTTATTTTCTTTTGTCATGTCATGAGACAAAAAAAAAAGTCATTTGTATAGGAAAGGCAGTGAAGCCATTCCACTTTCCAAATGCTTTTGTTTTATTTATCAACTTTTATTTTCTAAATTCTCTTTCATTTTAGTTTTTCTTTTATGCAACATTATTTAAATATTACGTTATGGTACTAAAAAACTTTAAGAAAGTGTGAGCTATAGGACTAGTTGATGCCTTTCCGCATAAATCAAGGAATATCAACTTGACTTACTATTTACCAACCAATTTACTCAAATAAAATCATGTCTTTGAACTTGTGTGTCAAAACAAAGTGTGTGTCGCTTGTTAAATTCTGACCCCCAGCTGTGTCAACACTAACACATGCAATGACTTGTATATAAAATGCTATCTACTGCAATGTCTTATTGGGCATAGAAGATTCAATTTGATTTCTTGAATTCATCCGTGAAGTGAATAATGCCTCTGTAAACACAAAAAGACATTTCTGTCACCCTCAAATTCACCCATCCAACTGTATCAAATATTGCCACTAACAAGAGCTGACCCACTCACTCTTATAGAGTATCCACAAAATGCCCATTGAAAACTATCAACCCCATTAAACATGTCCTTTGTTCCTCTCTATAATAGAACGGAAGAACTTTCTTTCATCGCTGTTGTTTTCCCATTTTGTGAAAGACTGATTAGCCTGCTTTATACAAATAGTGAATATGTCCAAACCTGGCAGCTCCACACAATAGAAGTGAATTATTGGAATTGGGAAAAAAAAAGGAAATTTTGTACTTTTTATCCAAAAATTTGGAAAATTTTACTTTTATATTATTATTTATATATTTAGGTGTGAGCACACATAGGAATAAAAATCAGGACATTGCAGAAGAATACTACATATTAAGGACAAGAGTCCTTAACCACAAAGTTAAACATTTATGCACACCCACTGAGTCCCTTTTATACCATAATAAAACAAAACCAAGGGGGGAAAACACGTAGAAGAAAAGAAAGAGGAAACTAACAAGGACTGAAGCAAACAAGGAGATGCTAGAAAGGAAAATTAAGGGTGAGTAAGGAAAGGGTAGGAGATAGAGAGAGGGGGTAGATGTGCCTTTCTTAGAACTTTAAAATCAAAGCGTTTTATGGAGGTTGATGACTAGAATCAAACCAAGGATCCCATGTTTTGTGGAAACCTGGCTAGGGTATGGTGGACCACTGCACATATTGTGCCCCTTGACATGGATGTGACGTGGATCTTTGCCTTAACCGCTGTTTTAGTCAGGGGAACTTATTCCACCAGCCCTGATGGATGGGATAGGGGAAACATCCAGGAACACAGGTCAATAGGTTTACAGAGAACTTGACCGACACATTTTCTTTTTTTTGTCAATCTGTATTTTATTGAGGCATATTAGATGGGATACAGAATAGAGAGAGGGAAATGTGCATTTAGAATACAGTACAGGGCTCAATAACAGTGGTATCTAACATTTCCTTAATATTTGTACCTCTTTTTTATGTTTTATGGTTTAACGTTGCTTTTGTAAACAGGTTTAGGCAATATGCAATTTAAGTCGCTTAACATTAACTAGTTAAAATAAGTTAAGTGAACAAGTTTTGTATAGGGTGATTGCGCAGGCTCAGTAGTTCCCTGTTGTGTAGAATTAACTCAAATAATAATAACACGCTAACATAATAAGCGATTAACTGCTTGCAAATACTGACGAACCTATATCCCCGGGCACCCCCCACTGCTATCTGTCATACGTGCAGTGGTATAAGAGCAGACAGGCTAACGTCCCGGCTCCAGCAAATACCTAGAACATGGATGCCCTGTGTGAGGTAAGACAAGGAGCTTGCTAGATTTGTCAGGCTATGAGATGTGTCACAAATAGATAGAAACAACACAAGGGTTCCACTTAGTATTAAAACATTGCTAATCAGGTTTATGATGCTACCACTGCTTGGGTGAACAATTATTATAACATGGTAGTATCTTAGCTAGGCATTAGGTTCTACTGCATGTTTTAATATATATATATTGATGTCGCTTTTATAGTATTTTCTCCAGTTTTGCTCAATTGAGCAGGTGAGGTACACGTTTAGCTATGACAAAACTGCATAAACCAGCATATGATCTGCACTAGGGCTCAGGGTCATTTAGTGTTAGGTAAACAGGCTAGGTAGGGAGACAGTTAGAGTGCCATTGGTTACTAGGCTAGGAACATGTATGGACATATATAGTGACATGACATCTATAACCATGGGTTATTTCTGCAGGAGATTCCCCCGTGGGGAATTTGGGAATAATCAGGTTCCGTGTGTATTGGTCCCCGGATGGTAGTTATGGGGGTTATAGTCCCGGTAACATATAGATAAACAATAGTTTAAACATAAGATAAAGCAAACACTTGAAAAGTATATGTTGGTTCTGCATATTTTCAAATGGTAGTTATGTCGAGCTAGGTCAACTATACAGGCTAGTGACTTCAAGCTAGAACGTGCCAGGCGGGTGTGCCTGGGAGTAAACCGGTTATTTAAACATTGAGTCTCGCATGCATTGAGACCGTTATGCCACTGGGTCGTGGGCCTGGGCATAGGGGACTGTGCATCTGATTAAGTCAAAATTATAAGCAACTAAATAAACAAAGCCCAGCTAGTTCCACCTCGTTGGGTAACCTGTAAATTAGCCTAGGTTACACTTAGGTGAGTAACCAAGGAGACACACAGTTATTAATACTTTGCCAAGTCTTATGCGGTGAGGCCTAGGCCTGGTGTGACAGTTGCAAAGCTAGCACTAGTTTTGGTACAGGTTATAACACTTGCAATGATTAGTAGGAGTCCCGGGTGATGGGCATTGCAGTTGTCCGCTTGAGAAATCAGCCAACGCCACAGGGTGGGATGGCGGGGCAAGAATCAAGGGCCAGTTCTTCAGGCATTGGGGGGAGGCCCCCTCTAACCTGCATGCGGCTAGGAGGTTGCCCTGCTTTTCTTGCCTGCCCATTCCGACCAGCCAGTCGCTTTATCCTCCTTGTTGCGTTTCTTCTCCTATCACTCCCGGGTGTTTTCGCATATCTTCGGCCCGAGGCCTTAGTGGGGGCCCTTACCACATGTCCATTGACCCCATCAACAGGGTCGTGGGCCCAGGGTTCCTCCGGGTCCCGGTTATCTCCCTGGGTGTATGGGTGGTGGTGGAGAGCTACCTCCCGGTGAGCTCCCGGCTCGGAAGAAGAGTGCGGTCGGGTACCGGGTGTGCGGAGTGTTCGCAGCACTCCGTGGTTACGGTTTGGGGCTAGGTGACCTCTCCTGTGGTGGCTTTTGTGCGGAGGACGTGTCCTCCTGCGGCGCCATCTCGAGGCCCTGTGTGGGTTAGGAGCAGTTTGTTTGCGGCTGTGTTGCCTGTGCATCTCGTTGTTCAGGCATTGTGTTTGTTTAATCTGCTTTGCCCTGATCTCCAGTTTCGCCCAAAAGGCCTCAAATATAGCATGTAATCTGGCCGCGCAATCCGGCACCCCTGTATGGCATTCCGATGTCTTGCACAGTGCGCGTACCGCCGCCATTTTAGGTGTGCCATGTGCTTGGTTGTCCTGGCGTTGCTGCTTGTTACTGCCCCTCCAGTTGCTTAATGTGGACCGAGATGACCCCCGTCGGTCCATAAGGGGGGGGGGGGTAGGAGGTGAGTGCCCAGAGGTATCCACGTCCAGGTCAGTCAGCGCGGGGAGCGGCCGTCTCCCCGTAGCTCGATCTCCGGCAGGCCTCGGGTTATATGGTCGGGTCCCCAGAGGGTTGCATGCTTGGTTTTGGTATCGGGTGAGTCCCCCGGGTGTCCCCGTCATGATAAATGCTCTCCAGTGAGGGATTGTGCCAGATTTTGGGGGGATTACCCCCGAAAAGTGCAGGATTAGGCAGGAGCTGAGATGCAGCACAACCTCTCAGTCCCATTTTCTAATATTAGTCCAGTAGATTTCCACTGGGGCACTGCCACCACATGTGATAAAAGGAAAATTGTACTTTAAATTGTCTTAAAAGCATTCCAGTATTTAGCTTTTTTTGTAATTACAAATGCCGCATGAAT